AATAAACTCTAAAATACAAATGTTAAAACATGGCATTAACTTTTCATCTAGTTTAATCTACTTACTGAGCTGACTTCCCCCTCCTTTCTCTTACAAGTAAAAAAAAAACTACTGTGAATTTCCTCAAACTTAAGGAAACAATATTTCCATGTGTTTTACCTTACTGCCCATGTTTCAAGTAGACAGCAATAATTCTTTATATATATATATATATATATAATAAGCATGTTGTTATATTGTCCTAACCCCATTAAATGGAAATCTCATCCAAGTTATACGTAGTAACTTTAAGTCATATTTCATATTTACATCCAAAACCAGCATGTCTTTCAACAGAAAGTTATTCTTATTAAAAAGACTAACATAATCACAGTAAAGGAAAATGCTCTGGCATCATCCTAAGGTGGCTGCCAAACTGGTAGAAACCAGCCCACTTAGTTATCAATAGTTCACTGTCACACAGATAGGGAAGTCCATGCAGGGTCTCTCATGATCTGCCTTGGACCCAATTTTAGTCAACATGTTCATTAATGGTGTAGATGATGGAGTGGACAGTAGATGCACTGATCTCGTCAGGGCTCCCAACTGGATATGAGCTGTGAGCAATTTGGAGAACAGGATGAGAATCCACAATGATCTTGACAAATTGCAAAGATACAGCATAGGCAAGATCAAATGTGATAACCATGGATATCCAGGGGTCGAAACAACCAAACAAACATGGGGAAAAAAGCCAAGTGCAATGCACACTGTTGAAAAGAGCCGGGCTGCCTGGAGCCGCATTCCACTTCCAGCCAGGCTCTGCATGGCAGAATCTCCACTGATGCTGCCCCAGTAAGCCCTCAGGACCCCAGGTAAGGCTACTGGTGCCAGCACAGTGCTAGCCTCAGCCACCTGGGGCAACTTGCCACACACCGAAGTGCGTGTGGCACAGGCCTTTGCCAGATGGGTCTATGGCCTGTCCCAGGAAATGGCAGTTCTTAAGCTGTGTAGAGAGCTATTGCAAGCACCTGTACTGTACCATGGTGAATCATAGCTTTGCCACGCTATTAAGTCAGAGAGAGTAGAAAGACCTGGAGGGTGCTTCAGGATTTGTGGGCATGGGCAGAACTGCGTATGGAGCCTGAGACTGGAGCAAGGTTTGCAGAGAGTTGGTTATGAGGGACCTTTTTAGAAATGTGTGTCCTTTGGAGGGAAGCACTCCATGATCATAGCAGGGGATGGAGTAGCATGCCAGAAGGGGCTGGGAGGGGGGCAGTGAGGGAGCACAAGAAGGTAGAGGGGGTAGTGCCGTAAATCAGCATAAGAGGGAAATCAGTCTGAAAGGCATCTGTTGCACTGTGTCAGGAAACCCCAAGCCTAAACTACAGCACTTGATAAGACAAGAAACACAGTTAGGTCAGGAAAGCAGGGACATGTATCAGAAGACATGGGGCAGGGAGGATCCTTTGTTGGGATTTCAGGGCATCATCACAACTATGAGAAAGGTAGATTGAAGAGAGTCTGGTGGTTGTGATGGGGCCCTGCAAACAGCCATGTCTGCTTCCCAATGGAAGAGCTGGGGAAGCTTCCTGGAAAATACAGCAGCTACTAGACAAACACTGGAAAACCTCCTGTAGGAGGGAACCCATTTTTAACAGGGATAGAGGGGCAAGGAGTGGGGAGTCTGAACACTTTTTCCCAGGTCTGTGCTATACGGCTGCTCCACCACCATTTTTGTAATTGCATTTCACTCACCTTATGCTCCTGTATCTCAGTGCTTCAGCTCTGATGTTCCGGCTCCCATGGGACAGATTAGAAGAGAAACAAACTATGCCCTCTTTGTGTTAAAGGGACCTGGGAGATAAACACAAACATCCATAACTCCACACTTTGATTTTGAATTCTGCAAAAAGATCCAAAAAAAAAAAATCTATGGATGATCTCTCCCTCACAGGGTCTGGCAGGGGTTTGGAGGGCCACTATGTGATAGAGGCCATGTTGTGGAGGAGGCTGGATCCAGTCCCAAATGCAGAAGTTAATAGATTAATGTTACTAGACTGTGAAACAGAGTGTATCCTCCCATGACTCTTGTATCAAGCCTGTATTTCAGAGTAATTCAATCTTGACCTTAGACTTCAGTTTCTTAAAGACAGGAAAGGATTTCTTGGGTTTATCTCTTGTCCTCGACCATTCTTTTCAGGTCTTGCATTCAAAAGTGCGTCTTTCTCCCTCTCATATATTTGGTCCAATAAAAGAGTTCACCCTAAGAAATCCTTGCCTCTTGCATACTTTCTGGACTTTAAGGGCTACAACATTACTCCTACACTACAGTTCCTTAAAATCCCTCTTCTGGGCTAAGTTTGCTGGCAATTAGGTAAGTCTCAATTTTGTCCTGGGTTGGGTAGGTAACCGTACCCGGCCAACATCAACTACCCTGTCTTCTGCAGGGAATTCCAAAAATGAGTAGAACAAAGCGAATAAGCTTCTCTACTTTTGAAGGGCATCTCTCCATACCAAAAGTAGGTTGTTGTTCAGCTTCTCACCCTGCCTGTAACAGAAAGAATCACATGTTATCAGGCTCCTAAGCTATGTCTCTGATCCTGGATGCTTACAGTTTCATTAAGGCTCATTTTTCATCCCTCTCCTTATAATGCCTTGAAAGACCCCAGAAGCTGAGGAAGCTCACATCTTCCTATGTTGTTGTCCCCCTTCCACCACTCAGTTTCTCTCACCTTCCCCCATACCCTTGCAGATCATCTTATGAATAGCAAGCAACAGTCTGGTGGTAAATACACTGGGGAATAGCTTCTGCACTGCCCTGGAGACTTTAGCAGGGAGTACCTGGTAACCAAGCTGCTGTTAGAAAAAAAAGTGAATGGGGAGATCAAAATATAGTAAAGTCAATGAAAAATTCCAGGAGTTCTTGCAAGTGAGTAAGGTTGTCACAGCTAAAAGGAGAGGGGTCAGGTTTAGCATGCAGCCTTGGAGCAGGGAGAGAAATGTAAAGACATAGGTGAGCATTGTTGCTTATAAGGGATTATCACTACAGCTGGGGTCCAGCAGAGGTCCCAAAAGAAGAGATATTTTACTGCTTTCAAGAGCAGAGTCCAACCCACTTCTTGTAACTTTTAGACCCTACTGCCATTTCAAAGTTGGTGCTGAATCTGTGCAGTTTGAAACATGGTCTGGAATTGAGGGCTTATTTTTTCTGTGTTCAGGTATCTTGGCAATCATATGATGACACAGAAAGGGGACTTTGAGTATTTAAAATGGTTGCTTGAGGACCAGGTAGTAGCTGTAGGGGTGAAAGGAAACCATGCAGGGGTGCCTGAGGGCATGCGAGATTTTGAGCCCTGCTAGGGGCAGGGGTGCCAGACAGGGGCAGACAGGCAGGCTGAGACCAAGAGGGCCTGAGCCTGAGTCCTGAGGAGGCAGCAGAGGAGGCCTGAGGCTGAAAGGACCAGATCCTGAGCCACCAGAGGATGACACAAGCAAGCTGTGACTGACAATAGGCTGAGCCTGAAAGGCTGGGCCAGAGCAAATGGGCCCAGGCTAGAAGTTTTACAGCCAGAGTAACCCATAAGCCAAAGCCAAGAGGGCTGAAGCCTATATAGTAAGGCTGTGCAAAATTTTGGCTTGCAGTCAGTTACTGAGCTATCTTCCAGAAGCTCAGGAGCATTAGACAACAAAGGCTACTACTACCATTGATTTGATTTCCTACTTGCTAGCCAAGCAAGTGGGATTCTGCAATACCTCTTGTTTCTTTCTAGACCATTTTATTTTATTATTATATTAATTGATTTCTTTTCAATTTCAAAATTACATTGTATATTATACTATAGAATTTATATAGGAAGGCACATATACATTTATATATTTTTATGAAGACAAGATACTATGAAACACGCCATGACGTGTGCTGGAAAGGCAGCTGGCAAGCTTTCAGGGAAGGGCAGAAGAGGGGGTAAAGGGAGAGGTGTAAATCCTCCCTCCCCCAAACTGAGATGCAGCCTCTTTGCTACAAAAAGCAGGCATGAGGCTTCCACTAGTACAGGCAGCAAGAAGAAGGCAGCAGTGCCACTGCCACTGCCTATCCCTGAGTCTGCATCCCCTCCAAGAGCACCAGACATAACCCCTGCTTCCACCACCATGACAACTAGCACCAGAACCAGCAAGACAGTCTCCTCCAGCCCCATTTCACTTCTGATGCTGAGCATTCCAGTGCCAGAGGAAGAGCTGGAGCTGGATCTGGATCCAAGTGTCATAGCAAGGGAAATTCTGGGGAAGGAGGGGGTATCAGCTGAGTTTGTAGTCCACACCCCTCAAGTTTCCCCTAGAGCCAGGTCTTCTTCCCCAGGAGGCACTTCAGAGGAGGTTGAGGTAAAGGTTGCAGAGGGAAGAGGCTCAGCTGAATCTGCTCCTCCTGTTGCTGTGCCTCTGCCTGCTGAGGAGGGGGAAATTGCAGCATCCATACATGCACCTGCACCCCAGAAGTGAGCAAGTATGGTCTGGGATCATTTTGGGCTGGCAGATGATCCCACATATGCTATCTGCCTGCACTGCTAAGCCAAAACCAGCTGCGGCAAGGGAGCAAAACATATGAATACCATGGGGATGCACGTCTGCAGGCCACATCCCATTGCCCTTGCTCCTCCTTAGCCTGGCAGTAGTGGGAGCATGACCAAAGGGAAGTCCCCCTCTTACTCCAAAGCCCCTGTCCCAACAATGCAGAGGCAGGCCACCCTGGACTGCTGCGGGTTACTATTCAATTTAGAAAAAGAGATGCTGGGTGGGGAGGGTGGGGGCATGATAAGGGTTTACAAAATACTAAATAGTGAAGAGAAAGTACATAAGAAAAATAAATAAGGATTTATTATTTACTCTCTCACAATACAAGAAGCAGGGGTCAAAAAATGAAACTAGATGGCAGTAAGTTTAAAACAAACACAAGGATGTAATTAAAGTCCA